AAGAACAGTCATTATCAACATGGCTGGTGGTACAATTTCATAGCAGCTGTCAGGAAATGCCACTTGCTATTAAAACAGCCAACTCAATCAAAATAGGGACACCCATGCTTTACCCAATCAACCCTCTCTAGTCTTTTGCCCATCCGGCTAAAAAAATATTTTCGTTTAGTTCAGTCTTTGAGTATCTGTGTAAGAGGCATTTAAACATCCCAGGGATTAGGAGAGCCTGACTCTATTTGGACCATCTTAATCTTCTTCCCTTCCAATTGGGACTAGGAAGAAATAAACCTGTTTTTGATGGTGGTGGTATTATATTTTGAGGCTTGTTTGTTTATTTATTTATTGCTTCTTTTTGTCTTTGGACAAAGTTCTCATGCATCCCAGGCTAGCCTCAAACTTTCTGTGTATCAGAATAATTTTCAACTTCTGATCTGCTTGCCTCTACCTCCTAAGTGCTAGGGTTATAAGCACAGAGTCATCATATGCTTTTAAGGTTATAGGGTTATAAGCATGGGTCATCATGTCCAGTTTATGTGTTGCTACTGCTCAAGCTCAGGCTCATGCATGTCAAGGAAGCATCAGTCCTAAAACCTGGGGCTTACTAAAGAAGACTTTTCTTCACAAATCACAATTAGTATAGATTCATAAGTGATCCACCTTGAATAAACCCAGAAGGAGTGGCTCACAAAGACATATATTTTTGTAAATGGACCATCCAAACTCTAATGCCCCTTAGTTTCTGCACTTGGGACCAAGCTTTCAAGATAAATGACAGGAAATTAGGGTTGCTCAGCAAGGTGGAGAAAGCCAAGAGAGGTGAGCATAAATTGTCTTGAGTATAAAATGTAGAAATATGGGTTGGGGGTATAGTATATCCTTGAGAATTTGGTTTGGGTCCCCAGAACCAAAAGTATGAATATAATTGTTCAAATTAAAACTCTACATTTGATTATATCAAAGTAGCTGTAATTGTGAGAACTACTTTTCACTTACAAGGTCATGGTATATACATGCTGGCTACTAAGCTCATCACTCAGATCAACTGCTTCTTAAGTTCCATTTGATTTCAATAATATACTTTGAACAAGTTTAGATCTAGTCTATGTTGGTACAGGTTATGTTGGGAGTCCTTGACCTGTGCAAAATCTTGCAGGTAAGACAGTCATGCTGGTGGGAAGTCCAGTTGGAGATGACTGGGAAGTGATGAATATAGGGTACTGATGGTGGCACAGATTGAATGTCTTCTAGAGGTTGAGACTGAGCTGAAGAATTAGTCTTACAGAGCTCATACATGTGATATAAAGGAAGTAGAGGAAAAACACCTGGGGGAGGGGAAGTGGAGCTGTGGTCTTATTCTTGGGGCAGGTGACTATCACTTTCTATCTATTGCCAGCTCCTTATTGGGGAGAGGCCTTTGCCACCCTTCAGAGTCTTTAGTTTTGAGATATGGGATAAAAAAGAAGGAGCGAATGGAAGTAAGCCCATGGATTCCTGCTTTAAGTCATAACCCCTTTTAAATCCAGCAGCACTGTAACAGCAAAGCAATGGGACATTAGAGGATCAAATGAAAAATGAAGATAAATTAAAGAAACAAAGTTAAAATAATAAACTAAATGTTTTGAGTCCAAAGAAGTAGAATATGCAGTATTTAATAATTCACACAGAAAGTGGAGGAAGAAAAAGGTAGTTTAAAATAAACCCAGTGAAAGGAAAATAAATGAAACAGAAAATCCTGGTTAAGAGCAGGAAAGGTTAAAAAAAAGAACCCGAGTTTCACTGAACTATTTTAGCAAATACAGGTTGTTAAATTTATATACAGTTTTTCTGCTCTTGGGACTGAGAGCAGATAAAGTTGCTTTTGGAAATAGTTCTCCAAGCTTCCAGAACAAAGCTGTGTCCCCAGAGAGCCTGAAATCCAGTGAAAATTGCCTTTCAGTTCAGCCAGCGAATGTTTCTGTCATTAGCAGCCTTAATCTTCTCAGAAAGAGAATGGGGGTGGGGGGAGAGAGAGTGAGAAAATTGACAGGCCTTTAAATGGTCCTGGGAGAAAGAGTGGCACATGAAAGATGGACTGCTACCCTGCAGAAGATAGAGACAGCCATGGTAGCCCAGCTGTGTCCTCACATCGAAGCTCTGGAGGTGGCTTTTCTACCTGCCAGCTGCTGGGCCTGCTAGCTGTGCTGCACCCACAGGTTGGGCTTTGACCATCATAGGGAGATCTTCGAGCCTTGGACAGCTGTACTTGTCCATTCTGTGAGTGGCCAGAGAAGGAAAGAGATACTCATGGTGACATCTCTGGGCCCTTCTCTAATTACGAATAAAAAACTGAACAGACATTATGGCACTCCTTGTCACTGGTGTGTACCTTCGACGGACTCAACTGTAGTATGAAGCCAAAAGGGACCTACTACAAAATGTTTGTTTACTTCTTTTAGGGTCTCTGAAACTCAATCTTTTTCCCCAAATGCCAAAATATGTAACTTCCAAATTAAGTTTCGAACTTTCTAGAACAGTTGGTAATGATAAAAACAATTCTTCCGAAGAAAGTTTATAATAAAGAAAGTTTATAATATAACTCACCATTACCTCACAATTTTAAGGCTGTTGGTTTAACATTTTTATCACATAAGCTTGGCACAGTGGCACACAGCTGTAAGCTTAGCTCTTAGAAAGTAGAGGCAGGAGGATCAGAAATTCAAGGCCATCCTAAGTACACATGGAGTTCAAGGCCTGCCTGAGCTACACAAGACCCCATCTTAGGAGAGAATTACACCACAGGTTTGTGAGAACAAATGGGCTTGACAAATAATTAAATCCACATAAACTGTTTGTTGATTTCTGTTGAGCAAAGTGACAAAGGATGAGAGGTTTTCTGTTTCCTAGGGAAATTCATGAGGAGAAAATAAATTCTGTTTATTTGTTTGTGCTATTAGTGGCCCCACTGAGGGTGTCTTTCATACCTCCCTTACATTTCACCTATGATAATTTCTTCTTCTGTCTCTAAGAAACTGGACTCTTGTGTGCACTTTGATAGCTCCCCCATCTGTGGCATGCAAATGGCTTGGACCCAGGAGTTTATGACTGTGAGTTTTACCTTTAGTATTTCTCCCACCCCAAATTTATACAGTACGCATTGGGAGCACACAGGGAGGGACCTATGGCTCCAGCTATATATGTAAGGGAGGATGGCCTTGTTGGGCATAGCTCGAAGAGGAGATCCTTGGTCCCATGAAGGCTGGATGCCCAGTGTGGGGGAATTCAAGGGTAGGGAGGTGGGAGTGAGGGGTGGGGGGCACATCCTCATAGAAGCAGGAGGAGGGGGGATAGGATAGAGGGTTCCTGGGTGGGAGGAAATGGGGTAAGGGAATAACATCTGAAATGTAAATAAAATATCCAATAAAAAAAAGAATCTCAAAGAGAAAAAAAAAGAAAAGTAACCAAACCATCTTATTTTTTTTATTATGTGTCTGAGGTAGAGAGTGTATCCACTGGAGTGCTATGCCTATAGAGGCCAAGAGGCATCTGTTCCCCTGGATCTAGAGTCACAGGCTGTTATGAGTGACCCTCTCATGGGGGCTGAGAATCAAACTCAAGTCCTTTTCAAAGTTGGTGAATGCTCTTAGTCACAAGACATCTCTCTAACCCCTATATTTCTTAAGTCCTTTTCAAAGTAGGTGAATGTTCTTAGTCACAAGACATCTCTCTAACCCCTATATTTCTTATTTAATTTTCAAATCTTTCTTTAATCTTTAACCCTGTTGTAAATTAATCTTTTTAATTTTTTTCTACTTGTTATGTGTGTGAGAGAGATGGGGTATAGCATGCATGCTACCACAGGGTGGGGTTAGAAGACAATGTGGACTCAGGTTTTCCCTCTACCTTTATGTGGTTCCTGGATTCTAACTTAAGCCACAATGCTAGCAGGCAGCACCTTTACCTACTTAGCCATCTCTCAGACACACATCTTTGAACACTGTAACTTGGAAATCCACAGAATCGGATATGAGTATATGGTGCAGACACCTAGATATCAATGTCTCGAATTTCCTATGTCACACACACACACACACACACACACACACACACACACGTTTGTATGTGTCAAGCATGCATGATTATTAGCTCTTTTCTCTATTAATAAACTTAACAACTTCATTTTACTCTGACTCATCATGAAATTCTATTCTACAGTATAGTCAAGGATATGCCTTTACTTGAGTGGAGGTCCCTGGGGTAACAGATGTCTGCAGTATTGTGGTGGCATGCTAGACTGCTTTCTCTACCACTGCTGACACTAACACTTTCCCCTCAACCCTATTTGCACACACCGAAACACTTACCATGCTTTAGACGTAGTTAGCAACCTACTTTCATAGCACTTGTCACCTCATTGATCAGATTAGGCAACTCCATGTTTGAATTTGATGCACCTCAGAGCACTTGTTCTGCACAGTGGTCACAGGGTTCTACCATCATGATATTAACAAGGAATGCTGTCCCTTCTCTGAACTCTGTTTTCAGTAGCTCTACCTCTCATAGAGCTCAGGATTTTTAGGAAATTAGAAGCTGCACAGTTGTGCCCCAATTGGTACTTCTCTGAGTTTTCAGCCCAAACATGTGTTTTAAATGATCCTTCTATGAAGCACATTTTCCATAGCATATTCCATAAATATGTATGTATGTATTCATGTATGCTTCGTTGACAGGGGTGATGATATGAAACCCAGGGTCTCCAACATGTCATGCACAGCGTCTACCACTAAGCTACACTCCCAGGCCCCAGGAACTTATTTCAAAACTCCTCAGCACTGCAGGTAAAATGCATGTTCAAATGCTTCCAAACTATCAACCCAACTCAAGTGTAGAATTTACCTACAATCCTCAGAGAAGTGGAATGGAACTCTGTCTGTTTGCAAGCTTCCTTGGTCCTACACACAAGTGACAACATTGAACTTGAATATAAACAGCACCATCCATGAGACAAGGTAGCACATAATTACCTCATTGTCTCCACACTGCAGATCCAGATCACTCGAATTCTCCTCCAGAAAGCATTTCACCTTCTCCACCTCTTCCATGCACTGAAAAAAGGCTACCTTCTCCAGCGGGTTGCTGCTGTGGCATGAGCTAATTTCCTCCAGCCTCTTTACCTTCAGCATACTGGTGGTGAGCCTGATCAAGCTACTGTCAGGAGTGGGGCTTTCATCTCCCTCTGTCTCCGATTTGTAAATCAGGACACAATCGTGACTTTTCAGCACTCCTTTCTCTTGACTATAAAAAAAGGAAACAAACAAACAAAACCTTCAGGTTATTTATTCTCCATCAACTTCCCAAATCAGGGGCAACCTGAATATTCACATCGAAACTTTTTCCACTGCTGAAACTTTTAAAGGGGGAAAAAAAAAGAATGTTTAAAACATTTTCCCAGAAAATATAATAGTGAGAAGTACTATACCAGGTGGCCATGTACATCTTTCACTGCATTAAGCAAGACATACACTGAGAGAAAGTAAGAAATCCAGCCCCAGTGTTGTTTATGCAGTATATTTCAAATTGGTCATTCAAACAAGCCACAGACCTTTTACACACAGGAACGGCTGGGGAAATCCTTTTGTAAAAGGAAATTTATATGATCTAGGTTAAGAAGTAACAGATGAAGATAGAAGTATTTCCATCTGGTATATCCCCTCTTCCTAGAACCCAGGAAAGACTGATTCAGCCCAGGAAGAAGAGACAGTGGTCCTCACACCTGCCCTGAACAGAGATAACCATAGGAGGATGCCATCTGAAAGATTTCATTTGCACCCAGGATGTTTGTGCACTCTCTCCGATCTTCCAGAGACTTCTTACTTCCTTTCACCTGAGAAGTCCAAACTTCAGTCCCTTCAGGCTCTACATAAAAGACCACTATGCTGCCCCACTTCATGTTGCGAGCAAGCATGTGCTTTGTTTTGTTTTTCAAGATATCTATTCATTATCAGGATTTTTTTTCACAGACTAAAATTTAGCCAAGCTACAGGAGATAAGGGGCAAGTTAAAAACTCTGACACCGGTTAAGACACAGTATGAGGATTGGGGTTTTTGACTGCAGTGGCATGGCTTCCTCCTCACAGTCCTGCAGGAAAGAAAGTCTTGTCTCAGAAGAAGGGATTCTCACTCTTCCTTTGGAAACTGTGCCTCTTTGGGCAGTGTTTTCACCACAGCAATTTTCTGCCATTCTCCTCTTTAAGTTATTCACTGTTGGGGATTAAACCCAATAACGTACACAAGTTAGGTAAACACCTCTACCTCTGAGTGACACCCCCAACTCCTCTTGCCTACATCTCAGGACATTTGGTATTGATTTTTCAAAAGAAATTCATTTCAGAGGAAGAATGTAGCTAAACACTTTTCATTGCATCTTTAGTAACAGCTGTGCACTGAGCTCGGCTGTTTATGCTCGCTCTGAAATAGTCTCCTTACCAATTAGGTAATGCACATGCAACAAAGTAACACTTAATTCTAGACACATAAATGCATCTGTGTATTTATGTATTACTTGGCTATACAAGGAGACAAAAATTAAGGCAATATTTGAATCTGAGCTTTCCAGTGGCTAGCCCCCGAGGCCCCCTGCTGGAAATTCTCTGAAGTTTACTTCATTTTCTCTAGTAATAATCATTTCTTATTCTGCCAATGAAACTTCATTTTTACGATTAATAGAGTAAAATAACCTACTAGAGTTATAAAGTATTTTAAATTCAATTCTCTACAGATTTGTATATATTTCCTAAAGAACTTACATTTTAAAAAATGCAAATAACATCAACCAGAACTCTAGAGATTCATTATAGACCATAATTTGTATTTTTTTTAAAAACATTCTCTGGGGTTGGGGGATATTCTTAAAATAAGAAGACAGATGCATGTCTATTTAATGGTGAACTGTGGCTAAGATATAATGTTGAATTGCAGGCAATACCAGAAATAGACCAGGAAGCCTCTAAATTTGACATATTAAAACAGAAGTTTAGATTTAACACACAATCATTCAATAAAGGAATACAAAGCATTGAGCTCTGCCTGAAGTTTGGAATGACTTGTTAATTAAAGCAACACAGAGAGAAAATTGCAATTGGATCAGTTATAACAATAAACAGAAGTGATTACCATCTGTAGGAGGACATCCTGGAGTCTGAACCAACCCACAAGTAGAGGATTCTTTCTAGGAGATAACAGGAATCTGCAGAATTCAACTGGACTGCAGAACTCTCTGGGAAGAGACTTCACTCTCAGTGGGCAGAAGTCATCTGGAAGACAAGTATCTACCACCAGAGGAAGTGTCTTCCCTCTCAAATGCCACGTTGAGCCCCTGTTTAAACTAATGTACTCCTTGATCTCATGTTGCTCAGCTGTTGCTTCCTTAGTCAGATGGGGAAGAATATTAATTTTAGATGCCAGGCCTTTCAAAGCTGATGGCTCCATTTCAAAGGTCAGGTAAGGAGAGGATAAACTGAGAACACTGGATGAAATATCACCTTTACCCCCCCTCTCAGCCCCTGGTAATTACTGGGCTGGATCTGTGCTTGGTGGTCGCATACTCCTCTCAGACATGATGGCAGCTGCCAGGACGAAAGGAATGGGAGCCCAAAATGTGTCCCATGAACATTTGTTTTGATGACTATGAAGTGATCTGAATGTACTATGGGCCCTTCGGAATCCATTTAGTGAGTACTGTTTAAATTGCTCAGTCATAATAGCATTTGAAAGGTCTCCAACTCTCCCTAGTTCAGGGGGAAGGTGAAAGGCACATATATCCAGGTAGATACAAAGACTAGAGGTGGATTTTGCACAGATGCTTATGAGTAACACTGTGACTCTTCCTAAATTATCATGAAAACAACCACCTTTCCAGGTTTACTCTTCCTAGAGAAATATACTTGATATAAAACTTGCATTGCTGACAAACTAAAAGTGACATTATAACCAGCTCTCTAATTTTTTTTTTTTACAACTCAGACAATTGTCACCTCTTATTCAGCCTTTATGAAGCCCTGTGTCCCACTGCCACAGGTAGCCTCTGACCCTTTGGTTGTGTGTGTGTGTGTGTGTGTGTGTGTATTTAGATCAATGTTTTCTAGTCAAGACAAAAATGGTGTCCTTCATTTTAAGTAATAGTTGAAGGATTCTAGTAGAATCTCACTTGAAAAGCAGAACTGTTGCTATTTTTCTAGGATTCCAAAACTTAGTTCTTCAGGAAGAAGATACATTATTCCACAAAGTATTCTTAAAAGGCTGAACTGACCTCTGGCTACCAACTTTTATAGGCATGATTAAACTGTATATGAATGCTGACAAAGACAAATCCTTCTCAGAATAAGAAAGTTGTATGTGGCCACATCCCCAGTCAGAACATAAAAATGAAGTCATTATTCCTATCTCCTTGGCTCTTAGCCACAAGCATTAGAGATCCAGGGCCAGCAGATGCACTACTATTAACAAAATACAATAGTTAATTTTCTTCACTCCCTTTTGGTTCTAGAATCCCATGCATGCTTCCACATTTCATTTGGAGCCAACAAGATTTGTGATGGATTAGGCACAGGGTGCAAAGGGAAGACCACAGATGGGATGATTTACAGATTCCTTCTGCATACCTGAAGGACAAAGGTGAAAGTATATGAAAGTATATGAGATGGCTGTTCGAGGCCATAGAAAAAAGCAGTCCCAGCAAAACTTGCCCAGTGTTTCCTTGACATTTTTGGACTTATTTCACACACATACACACACACACACACACACACACACACACACACACACACACACCAGCCTTTCACAAAGCTAAGAAATCATTGATTGTAAAACCGAATGCTTGGTGTTAAATGGGATGTCCTTATCCACTCCATCACCTTTCTCCACTCTCCCACTACCAAGGTTTAGGGAACAGCACTGAAGAGGAGGCAATATAAGCGCTGGAGCAAATGAAGGAGGGCTGTGCTGTGTTTCACACTTATGAACCCTGTGGCTGCCTACACAAGACCTGTACAAAATCAAGCCAGCTGCAAGAGTGTTCTCCATGCCTCACCTCTCTCTAGCGGTTGATAGCTTCTGGGGAAGGGAGAATCATTCTTTTTAGGAGGAAACAAAGTTTGGAAAGGGCCATATTGCAGGACTATGAGGAAGTCAAAGGAAGGAAATGGAGCTGGATGTATTTCATTGTATACATGCATGATGTTCTCAAGAATAAGAATATAATTCCTTGACATTTTAGACAACATTTCCACTACCCAAGGAAGAGACTGCAATCTGATGTGACACATAAACAGGTATCATTGACAGCTCACCTTCTGTTGGGCATTCAGGCCTGAAAGTGTTGATTATTTTTGTTTATACACAGCTTTCTGAATTTCTCTAGAACATCTGGCTTCTACACACAAAAGTGGAGCAACAGTCATGGATATAAACACATAGCTGAAAGGCTGCCTCATTGCAGCTGCCTCCCTAACAATTACATGTTTCATCTCCCATAAAGCACCAAACAGTATGACTCTAAAAGTAGAAATTAATAAATTGCACTCCATCAAAATCTAGAGTTTGCTTTTCAAAAGACAGCATTAGAAAAATCAAAAGACCAGCTACAGTCTGGATAAGATGCTTTGATAGCCCAGATGTGATAAAGAGCTCATATTCAGAGCATATAACAGATTGTTGCATCTCACCCCCAGTTTTAAAAGTGGACAAAGAATCTGAATAGACAAGCAGGCAGAATATCAGCCATCAGGGAGATGCAAATTCAATCCACAACAAAACTAACATTTTGTACTCTCTAGGAGAGGGTTAATTATAAAGAGAAAGAGGAAAAGCAAACATGGCTAGGATAGGAGGAAGGGGTGCTCTCATCAGACAGGAGATAGGAAGGAAAATGGCACAAACGCTTTTGAAAGTAGAATGTTTTGTCAGTTTAAGTTACTTCCCATAAACCTAATACTTCTGGGTACATAGGAAAAAGAAATGAAAAGAACATGCAGCCCTTGCATATAAGTTTGGGGAGGTACAGTGCCCACAACTGCCACAATTAGAAGCAATCCAAATGTCCAATAGTTAGTTTTGTGAGTGGAGAATACAAAGTAGTATTTCCATGTAAATGGAAGACTAAGTCAGAAATGAAATATAATACTACCCCTTAACATGAATG